AAGCCAGGGTTGGTGAATCCTGGACCAGATCGGAGTACACTTATGTACTACTCTACATCCCGATCGACAACCGGCAAGACGTCGACCCGGTGGCTCAGTGGCCAGGACGTTCGTCCCTAGCTCACTGATCGCGGGTTCGAAACTCGAGTGTGGCGTCAGTTTCTGTGGCTATAATGGAGTCGGGCAACTGCGACTGACGACGGTTAATGAACCAGAAATGCGCGTATCTCGCAGTCCTAACGTTTGCCGGTAATGCATTTGTTACAAACTAATAGATCAACTCAAATGAACGTACACGTCAGCTCTTGAGTTTGGAATAAAGTCGTATGCAATAAGTGTCAAAGTCTGTTAAACAAGGTTACATCCCCCCTCCAGCGTTCGTTAACCATGCTACTGAGTCGGTTTCTAGTTATAGCGCCTTAGAATTACGAGCCTAAACAGGAACGTATTTATGCCGAGATTACCTGGAGGTAATATAAGTGCCGAGACATCTCCCTACTTCGAAGAAAGCCAACTCTGTAGTGACGACTCTACACTGGGGCCTAGCGACTATCTACCGTAAAAGAGGCTATTGTTAAGCACCAATCCGGGAAAGACGACGAGAAGACAAAATCAAACAAATCACAAAACAGTGTATGAAAAGTGCACTGTACAGGCAAAGGGATGGACACTACAGTTCCGATAATCTAAATTACCAAATCGACAACTGCGATATAGAACCATTGATAGTTGATGTTGAAAAGATATTCGGTGTCGCTCCGTTTGCCAGGAACCTACTTATCGGTGTTCGACCGGACCCTGCAAGCAAGGCGGCGAAGGCGAGTGGACCATAGTTGCAGACGGTCATACACCGGTTACTTTTCGAAATTTCTGCGCGTCAGCGGCTTGACATAGGGACTGTCAATGACATGGTGACAGTGTTACCGCTGCGAATTAGCTAGTTTCACTTTCAAAGAGCGGAACTTCAGCATCCGGCCTCCGTTGTATGTCCGAAGAACTAACTGACAGATTAGCAGGTAGTTCAAAGGTAAAATACAAGGTGAATTGTCACTTGATCTTTATAAAACGTGGAAAAATAAATGCACGAGGCACAAAAATATCAGAAGTCACAATTAATTGAAAGCTCCCACACACGAGGACTCCAACTCATCTGCCAAAGTTCGAGCCTCTTCAACAATGTCCTTTTTGAGTCGCAGTTGTTCCCTGTATGCAATTATCGCATCCAAAACTTTGGAGTTGAGGTCCTCCACCTTGATCAACGTGTCACGTTTGGCCTCACTAAAGTCAGTCTCATGACACACTGGGGGGAGTGCTTTGTTACTTGTAGTGGAACTAACCAGAGCCCGATAGAATGAAGGTGAGGGATCAACGAATACCATTTCATCATAGATCTCACGGACGAGGCTTTTTTGACCCATCATAATTTCATGATCACAATGAAACAGTTTTAGCAAATGTGTAATAACCAACGGTTTCTCATTTGGATCAGTGAAGGTCACTTTTATCACAATGTCGAATTCTCCCCAACCAGTTTCGGTCAGTTCGTAGGGTGGCTTATTGAAAATGCGTATGGGGTTGGAATAACTGTCGTGCAGCTTGAACTGAACTCGCCGGATATAGGTTGACATATCCTCATTCGCATTGTAGGGACGTAGGAAAGCGGTCCACATGTGCGTGCGCCCATCCTCTTCGCGTTTTTTTCCCAGATATCGAGAAATGTTGCCATAGACGATTGGTTTTACAACTGTAGTTTTCAGTTTATCGACCACGTCTTCGCTCATCTTCTGAAATTGAATGACAAAAAAGAAGATAAATATTTTTTTTCTTTCACAAGTCAATCAAGCTAAACATAACTACTGATAAAATGAGATAGAGCAAGCAATGCTCAGTGAGTCGTCGAGTCCGTATCCCAATAACAGACGTTTGACTGCTTAAGAGTCCATAAATTAGAACTCCGGATTCGAACCTCAGATCATGCAAACCTAACATTGAGTATGGTTGATTGATAACTGCTAATAGGTCAGAAATGAAAATCTCAGCCTCCCTTGTAAGGACGCTAGAAGTACCCTACTTCTGACCCCTAGGTTGAATGAAATTACTCCATTTGGCAATATTTCTGAGGAAAAAGCGAATTGTATGAAATCTACCTCGTGGACTCGAACTTCGAGTCAAAGTAAATTTTCGAGGAGAGATAAGAATATTGAGAAAGAATGGCCAATGTAGGACAGCGCCTTAAAACGGTGAAAAGGAAAAGTACATCGAATACAGAAAATCTATAAAGTAGTGATTCATAAATTTAGGAGACAGGAGAGACACAGGTAAGGAATTGGTATCCCGTTAGGGAGAGTACGTCTAATTAGACTGACAAAATCAGTCGAGTACGATGGTGATTTATGTATTATTACATTTAGCCAAAAAAAACAAATGTTCAGAGAGCTAGACCGGAATTCAGCCGGAGAGGCCGGTTATAACCTAAGTATAAAATCTTTTCAGTTCGAGTAGTTTGGATGGACTACGGCGACAATCACGATTTCGCCGTTTTATCCAACGAGGTTCACTGTGTGCTCACAGTACGGTGACGCAGGGACGGTGGCTTACGCATGAATTCGATCATGATGAGAGTAGACTTGCACTGCATCTACACACGCTTCCCGGCCTGGGTCAGATGTCATAACTGAGTCCAGGAAACTGGAGGCGAGAGAGGGCACAGGTCGCCGGGGCAGCCGGAGCCCCCTCCCCCTTGCGTGTAGTCATATCTGGCCTCGATTCCACGGACCGCGACTGCCATATAGGCCACATTGGGTAGGAACCATTGCAGCCAAACTCTCAGACCACCAGTAGGCCAATTTACACAAACATATATTGAACTGACTACAATGTCTGAGTACGACTGTTACTTGGCAACAGTCCAAGCTACGACGCTTGGCGCACCGTGACAGGCTCAGGCTATAGAAGAGCCAGATGGAGAAAGAACGGAAGATCATAGTCCCCTCTTACGTGAGGGGTTTGCGGCAATAAATAAATGCAAAAGGCCTAGCTGAAGTTGCATGACGTACTGGTCCAAGAAGATTGTGCATGATAGAAGAGGTTCACTTTTATCTAAGATGTCACACTCAGAAAAATGAAAAGCACGAACTGTTAACTGAAAAATGATATAGCAAAACATTTCTAAAAAGAAAACTTATCAAAGAAATTGCTCTACTTAATTATAGATATTTTCGTGCCTGGACTTTCAGTGTCCGTTTTTTACATTAGAGAATATTTCTCAAGCGGTCATCTGCGGGCTAAACAACTTCCGAAAACATTCTACACGGAAAACCTTCAAATTCTGTACTGTTTTAATAACTGTGCTATACAAAAATCGACATTTTTTGCAACCGACAAACGACACCAAACCCTGACTGGGATTTCAAAGACGACTAGAGAGTCAACGGCCTCTATGTTTCTGCTTTATGTGACTTTGGCGCAATTTATGTCTGCGGTACAAATATGCAGAAAGAATTCTTGCCTAGTGCGATGCCCGGTGTTCCGCTGAGTCACATTTATTCCCAGCAAGTAGTAACGGAAACAGTGACCGCACAGTGTGACCGACTGCAACATATGCGCAGTAGAGCGGTCACTGTCACTCATCCGTTGCCCTACAGCTGATGGGCGCTAGACACCACATCTTGGGTAACGGAAACACTCATGAACCTACTAAAGCAGCTGCCACCACTATCTGGCTCACTAACAATCGTGACTGGACGCAGGCAACGCCAGTCCTAGCCACACCAACGACTCGGCTGTCTGGGAAAACAAAATGGAGTTCTGTGCACAGTAGATTATTCTTTGTGGTGCTTTCTATATTTTTCTTAAACTTAGGATTTGACCTGATGATCGTAATGTTTTGAGCACATCTAACACTTAGAGGTTGTAGTATTTCGGTTTATGCAGTATATAAAAGAACAAAAAAAGCCCATTTGTTCGAAAATTCTGATAATCGTTAAATAAACTTTCTGGCAACTTCATAGGACGTCGATCCGCATTCTATTTGCATTAACGTTAGGAAAAGCCGGCAAACGATGTTCTATTAGGGGTTTACTAGCGTTAACGTTTTGCAGTGACTTTTATACTAAGCGCCAATACCTCACAACATGTGCACCAAGATTCTGAACGGTTTTAGATTCGAAAAGATTACCGAAATAGAACTGTAATAATAACCGTGCAGCATAGTCCCAAGGTAGTTCAGTCGCGACACGAAGTCAGATTTTGAACGGGTCTTATTCCGACTACTTGCGAGAACTTCACTTCGTAAAAATGCCTACTCAATTTAGTAAGATTCATTCTGGGCTCTAAAAACCTTTTTTTTCAACCGCCGAATAATTTGAAACACTACTTCGCGTTACATTTGCATTCAGAATTCAGAACTTACGTTGAATGCATTCCCTTTAAGGAAAATTGCGTACTTTTCTACACTAGTAGGACGATATCATAGTGCCCAGAAAGTGTTGCAATGGATGTGGACCATAGTAAGATATGATGCTTCACGAATAAAGAGTTCATGGTCTTCAAAAACCTTATAAAGTGCAACCCCAAAAATGTCATAGTAAGAATTTTCATGAAACTTATACGCTAAACTTTTTTTGCAGGTAAAATTTGGAGAAGACGAAAAGTATTACCAAGAAAGAACAGGAATGTTTAATTCGTGCATGTTTTCTATAAACTATATTTGAATGAATAAACACTGGAAATTAATGGGAAAACGCATACTACCTAAATAGTCACTGTTAACAGAGTGTATGGATAAATAATGTCGATGTTCGATGAGAAAAGCACATAATATGTGAAGTGCCGAAGACGCCAGCTGGGAGGGACTGACGAACTTATGTTTGATAAGGTGCTTAAGGTCCGTGTACTGAGCTCCTTATCTGGACTTACAGCGCAGCGCGGTTTTAGCCTTAATCGGGGTCGGAATCAGCAAAAGCTACTGCTTCTCTGCTAATATCCTATACTTAAAATGACCAGATTTCTATCAGGTAGGTGGTTAATAGTTCGTGACTGCTCCCGTCCTATTCAAAAATCGCTCGTTCTGAGAAACTAAAAAAGTGCTCAATGTCTATTTGTAGACAAGCCATACGCTCGGGGTTGAATAAAGCTTTAATTTTTTATTGCTGCAGAAGCTCCTATATATGCACTGATTAAATCAGTGCCTCTGTGATGGTTTTTTGGTTAATATTCGAGACATTCGTCAGACGAATGAACTCCCTAGCTCCCCACTAACGAAGTTGGTGGGATTGACATACTTGCTAATTATGTAATACGTAGCTATTAAAGTATCATGAAGTTTTAGATATTTGTATGTGTCGCAATTATTAAGTAATAAAGGAGGGCCGGGAAAGACTTCAGCACATAATCTGCATTCCGTGCCAAGCAAGATTTAGGCCCGTACTTCCGATATATGCTATAGCCGTCGATAACCAAAAACTAATCTACGGCTACCATTTCAATCACACAGTAAATGAAACCAATAGCATAAAGTAGACAACTGTACTTCAGTAATAAATTTCCCAAGAATCGGTCTTTAAAGATCATACGCCAAAATCATATTTCCGTGTTATATGTAATTTCAATTCAGTTCACGTAGACGTACCGCTTACCCCGGGCGTTCGAACTTACAAAATTCGGTAACTAGAGCAAGGATTAAAAGCCTCAACTCAAGATGTCCAAAATACGACCGCCCGAACAGTTCATGTAACCCGCATTCAAAGGGACAGGTAAAAACAAAACCAAGCTCGGGGAAGGAATTCATGATGCATCAACTTCATTAAGTAATTCTGAGCTATTTTGATAGTATATAATCTATAGAAAGCAGTGACAGCTAAATGAGGTCGCGGTTACGGCAAAAATTGTAATGGCGACTTATATAGCGGGTTGGAATATACAAACTCGAACGGGAGAACGGCCAACACGAAAGTCTGTGCTATTTAATCATAACTGATTGTGCTATCTACTCTCACTAACCCTCACCCACCTCAATTTTTACTCGAAGTGTAGTAGTGTAGTGTAATAGTGTAGTAGTACTGGTACTGATACTGACGCTACCATTTGTCAGAGGTGACGCTGATTAAGCCATTTCTGGGGCTCATACACCCTTGATCAGAACAGGGGGTGTTAATCTGCGTTTAAACTATTCCGAGTAAGTACATGTTTGAGGCCCTGAGCTTGCCTTGGTTTCCACCGTCTCAAAACTCCCCATCAGGCTGTGTTAGTTTCTACTCGGTCCATACTATGATACTGCTGCTAGAAGTACGTGCCTATGCTAAGTGCTAATTCTAGAAATCATGCTTACTAAGGCCAGTAAATAGCGCACTTTAAAAAGGCCCGTGCGTGCTTTTTAAGAAATCGGCACACAGTATGCGCTCCCAATGTGTATGAGGTAAAGTGGTTAACTTATAGGTTAAACAAAGCGTCATTAAATAATAGCACAAGTCCTACCATGCCT